GGAAAGTTGATTTCACATATAATTTATTAAAAGTAAGAATGAGAGTAGGGAATGAAAATGTATAATTTTCATATCTAAAAAAAGAAAGACAATTCATTGACATGCTAGCTTATAGACTGACTAGGGTGTGAACGTGAGCTAGTAAATCACAATGTTCATGTGAATGGCCCAAACACAAGCCACTGCACCATCTGGAAAAAAGGTGAAGCCTACACAGAAGGAATGCCAAGCAGAAAAGTGATCTGGGTTTATGTCAAGCAAAGATCAACATTTCCTGTTTCTTCTCACTTTTAAGTAGTTATTCCTGTTTATGACATATCCCTTGGCACTGAACTCACTGAGTTTGTTGGTTGGATGGAAAACCAGTAGGAATTGACAGTGTTTTTGAAGGAGACCCCACCTTGGGGCAAAGTTCAGGATTTAAATGACAGAGGTTGCTTTCTTAATAAACAGCTTTGGTAATTCTTCCTTATCTTCTTTCAAGGGCCTGGGGTTCATCATTTTATCAGTGACTTAGATGTTGGAAGAAAAAAACCTGTTTACCAGATTTTAAGATCAGCTTACAGAGAGAGGAGGATGGGAGTTGGGTACATAGCCTTTGAAATACAGGATCAAAATTCAAAAGAGATCAGAGAAAATTGTAAAAGGATTCATTAATAAAGAAAAAAATTATATATATATATATATATATATATATATATATATATATATATTAGATGCCTTTTGAATATGATAAAACAATGTAAGGTATTTCTGAAGAAAATGAAATTGGTAAAATAGGTTATAAGACAAAAGGTCTATTGATCATAGTTATGGTACGTTTTTGTTCCTGAAATAAAAACCTAAATTATATCATGATGAGCATAAATATACTTCATAAAACCAGTTTATTGGGTATTTACTTGATTACTTCTGTTGAGATCTTGATGAGGTAGGGCAAAGGAAAATGAGAATCAAAATAATCAGTTCAGCTGATTGTTGGGCACTCAAAGGATAGTTCTTCTTGATTAAAGAACTAAAATATACTGTTTTTGCATTTTCAGTTTTATTGACATGTGATAAAAGGCACATATTTTAAATGTGCAATATGATGAGTTTTGATTTATACACACACCTGTGAAACTGTCATGACAATTAAGTCACTGAGCATATGCATCATCCCTAAAAGTTTTCTTTCTTTTCTTTTTAAAGAGAGAGTGTGAGAGAGAGAGAGAGGGAGAGAGAGAGAATTTTTTTTTAATATTTATTTATTTTTTTTTTTAGTTTTCGGCAGACACAACATCTTTGTTTGTATGTGGTGCTGAGGATCGAACCCAGGCCGCACGCATGCCAGGCGAGCGCGCTACCGCTCGAGGCACATCCCCAGCCCCCTAAAAGTTTTCTTATGCCCCTTACTAATCCCTGCCTCTCCATTCCCAGGACCCAGGCAACCAATGATCTACTTTCTGTTACAATTGATTATATTTTGTAGGTGCAATTTTATATCAATGAAATCATCTAGTGTATCGTCTTTTTAGTATAGCCTCTTTCACTCAGCATAAAAATTTTCAGAATCATGATGTTGTTTCATTTCTTTTTATTCCTGAATAATATTCCACATGGTTTGTTTTTTGGGGCTTAGTTATTACTTCTATGGATAGATTAGTCAGTTGACTCACTTATTCTATTGCTTCTTTCTTTTTATTTCTATATTTTTTGTCTAATGCATCATAGACTCAGTAAATATTCATATTGATTCATTTAAGGACTTGGTCCAAACATTTTTTTAAACCTCTTGAAGAGGATTCTATTAGAGGCAATTCATTCATTTGTCCATTAAATCCTTCAGCAAATTTTGATGAAGCCCATACAAGGTCTCAGGCGCTATTTTAGGCACTGGGGGTATAACAATAAAGAAAATAGACATAAACCCCAGCCCTCATTCTCTTACATTTTAAGAGAGAAGACAGAAAACACAATAAAAACACAAATGATATAACTTGCCACACACAATTTGGAAATAATCACTTGGGTAAAGAGCTATCAGATATCAATCATCGTAACCAGGCAGCGTGGATTCTGACTGACTCCCAGAAATTGGACTGGATGTAGATTTGGTGTGATTTTCTCAAACTCATAAAGGCCCCATGGAAATTGACTCTGAACAGGAGTTGAAAGAAAAATGAGGTCGCCATGAATGGCCAGGAGTTAGTGAGGTTGTCACTGGGCTGGGAATCCGCCTCCTACTTCCCACAGGGATTAAGCTTTTGTGTCCACCTGTAGGAGAATGATGAGAGGATGACCACCACAGTCTCCTCCCCTGACTGTAGGAATCAAGCCAAAGAATTTGACACTGGAGGAACACTCCTGGGAAATTAAAGCCTGTCACATTGTCCCACTCCAGTTCCAACTATAAACCTCAACCCAGACATGTATGTGCTTCACTAACTCCAGGCACTTGGGTATTTGGTTTGGGGGAGGAAAGACAACAAGGATGGAATAAACTAAAACTTTCACCAAGTGAAATGCTTTGCTCCAAGATTGGAGTAAAGAATGTTGAATACTTTCCTCTCCGTTGAAATGTTTTGGCATTTGAGCTTAGGTAGGTTTAAGAGAGGAGTGTAAAGAGATAATTTCTGTAGCTGAAAGAAGGGAACCTTCTCTGCCTGCTTTTAGCACTTTTACTCTGGTGAGATTTAGCCTCTCTCCAAAGCAGACGAACCTTCTGAAAACAGGATTTCCTGTTCCCCCTGCCTTTGCAGAATGAAGGATGGGGTTGATCGGCAAGAGAGCAGCAGGCAAGAATTAGTGCAGGAGCAAGGGGTGGGAATTGTTTATTGCAACATGCTTAGAAATTCTTAGAAGAAATTTTGTGAACATAAAAAATTCAGTTGCTGCAGCTTGCTTCTTTTAAGAGGGAACTTCAATCATAAGATTCTTAAAACTCAGGAAGACAAGTTGTTTTGATTTTTGTTTCAGAGTCATTTAAAAACATGAAAGTATAGACTTTTAACACAGAGGGGACCTAATTCCACTCCCGTATTTTACAGATGATGCAGAGTACTGAGCTATTGTTGTTAGGTAGGTCAATCAGCCTTGAACAGGTGGGTAGAGGGGAAAACAATGAGGGGCAGTGACTTACAGGAAAGATTAGACATATGCATAAAGAAAAATCCATGAGTCACAAAATTGAGGCCACAGGGTGCCTGGCAAACATGAGGAAAATGGGGCCTAGTATGTCAGAATCTCCCCTAGTCATAGCTAATTATAATCCCTTAAGGGAACTACTGTTTTCAGAGCATGCCATTACTATCACTTGTGACCAGGTCCCCAATGACCCTTTCTTATCACCAAAACTATGTCACAATCACCCCAACCACCCCTTGTAACTAGGACATCATGACCCTCACAAAGAAGGTTGCTAAAGGTTATACCAAGGGCTAATGAACTACTTGAAGGGGTACAAGACAATAGAACAAGAAAACTCAAACCCCTTAAAGCCCCTGACTCTACATCATTCTCCTTGGAAACGTCCCATTTAGTACCTTGTTCTGAACATTTATACTCTTGCTCTTTCTAATAAATTCCTGCTTGTTACTCTGTGAGACTCATTTGAAATTCTTCCTGTAAGATCGCAAAAACTGGTGACGGTAGACTCCTGCAGCTGCTTTGACTCTGCAGGTGTGTCTCCTCTGTGACATTGTGACAATGGTGGGGAGCATGGGAGCACACTCCTTGTTTCCTGGCTCCAAACAGTGTAATTTCCTCTGCAGATTATAGAAAAGGCCATTTAAAGACCAGGTGTGAAGGTGAATTTTGCTATGTATAATATATGTATATTATACCTTACAACCTGATGTTAAATACAAAAAAAGCATATTCAATGATTCCTCTTGAACCCAGGTCTGTTAGATTCCTAAGATAGATCTTTCTGTATTCTACTTCTCAGCAGCAGTGTCCCCCCCACCCCCAGTCCTTGCTCCTTGTGTGGTTTGTTTGAGGAGGAAGCTGTGGGCTGAATACAGTGTGCTATACAAAGGCATTAACTACAGTGACTGGAGAGAAAAGCTCATTCAGTCTTGAGCCTGATGGATCAAGAGCTTCTGATAGTGTTGTGCAAATTTGACATCCCCATGAAATCAATCACTCCTCTGGTGGAGAAGCCATTGCATCCCAGCCAATTCCAGCTTGGAGTTCAGAATTGAAAACAAAACAGTTCACCCGTGATGGGAAAGAGACTTTTGGTATTCTTGTTGGCTTCCTGGCTAATTATAAAGTGTTAAAGACATTCAAAGGAAACTCGCCTCCCTCAGTGATCTACAAATAAGGAAGGGCGATAGAAGGTGAGCCAAAGAAAAGACTGAGGCCTCTAGTGAAATGAGGATCAAAACCAATCAGCCCTCATAATCACCAGAGAGAGAATTTTAATTTACAAAGGAAATAGATACCCTGGTAACTTGGAAAACCAGCAAAGGCTGAAATTGGGTGGGACCAAGAGCTCTGAAACTAATCATAGCTAGTTCTCAAAACTCAAAAGATTTGTTATTGCAAAACATTACTCAAACTCTAAACCAATTGAATGAATAGTGGTCTCTTTCTTAATGTCCATATTAAACATATACAGCTGAAACATAATGTGTAAACAATAATGTGTTTAAGAGGAATTAGGAAAGAATAGAGACACTAAAGCTTAATGACTTTGGTAATGGAACACTTCTATGATATAAAAGGTTTCTTTCTTTAATCTTCATTAGAACAAGATCATGTAGTATTTTCTTTTGTCTTGTGTGAATATTCTTAATGAGTATTGTTCCTGTGGTTAAAATGATATTAAGTTCAAGAGTTTAAATTTTCACTTTGAGACCATAAACTTGTTGGTTAGGATTAATGAATTGATTGTTACTATAATTTTTAGGTTATATCAGATATCAGTTGCAGGGACAGAAAAGTGTGATACCTTTCCTCACCTGTCATAAAGGTCATGATCAACTTTCCTATAATAAAAAATAGATTAACGAGAGAAAAGCATAACAGATGTATTTAATCAAAGTTTTACATTACACAGGAGCCTTCCCTGAAAATCCAGGGAGAATGGTTTTTATGCAAAAGTTTGATGAGGAGGAATGGACAGCCATAGAATTGTGATTGAACAAAAAGTTATGATGTATTGTAACACACTGAATGGTGGAAACCCAGCAACTCTTGTCTGGTCAGATTCTTCTTAGCCTCTCTGTGTGCAGGTTGAAGAATTTCTTCATGGTCAGCTCCTAAACAGAAAGGTGTCAGAAGAGGTTAGAGTAATATTTGTAGGTTTTATGGCTGGCTTTGGGAAAGAGGGCTCCTAGTTTCTATGACCCACCTTGGGGAAGACAAATTCTGGTTTCTATGGACTGTGTGGGGTTTAAAAAGCAGCAGAAGGAAGAGGGCAGAAAAGGGTCTGAAAGAAACTTTGCTTTTGAGGTTTTCCAATACCTTTTAGTTCAAAGTACTTCACAAGCTAAAGTGCCATACTTTGTTTTCTGAGCTCCAACACAGTCGTAGAATTCAAAAGACTGCATCTTTTTATTCCTCAGCATTTTGAATCATGCTGCATTCTCAGCCTGTGCTGATGTTGGTAAATGAATGAATTTGGCAGCTTCTCAATTTCCCTTCTTATAATTACTGTGAATTTTATTACATGTATTCAGTAGTTCTCCAGTCTCTTTCAAGAGCTTTAATTTATTTATTATTTTTAATTTATTATTTTATGGTGCTGAGATAAAACTCAGGGCCTAAGCATGTGCTCTACCATCGAGCTATACCCCAGCACCTTTCAAATCTTTTTGTTTTCTTCCCCTTCTGCTTCTTGGACTTTTCTGGGCTCCAATTGGCTCTGAGAGGTGTTTCTGCATGTTAGAGGACCCTCTCTACATAGAATTAACATATGTTTCGGGGGTGACATAGGCAAAAATTTTCAGCTGTTCAAATTCATTAAAATGGGGGGGGGGTTAGGATAATATAAAGACCGAGTGTGTGTTTATTGTGAGGATAGGATGAGTGAGAGTAATCACCTGATTCAGGGAGTAGTTGTTTTAAAACATCTTTAAGGATATATTACTTCTCTACTTTTTGAAATGCTTCACAAGTCTTTGTTTGGGTTTGAGTCCCTGGGAAGGAGGGCCTGCCACAGGATCTGTGCATTTAAGATTTTCCCCATCCTGCTTTATTCACTCACGCAAATGGCTTTGCATGATTCAGTAGTGACTCTACAAAGTTAAAGACTTACTGGACAAATGGCTGGCAGGGATCTAGATTGGGCAGAATGTTCTGGAAGATGCGCTCTATGTCTTTCTGCAACTTGGTCTTACTTTAAATCTGGCACTAAATTTGCTATCACATGAACTGCATCTCTTCAGGAAGAAATAAAGAACAGGAAACCATGATCAGAGACATCAAAAGCACACTCTTTTTAATATCTCACCTCCTTTTATATACATCCTTCACTTGCTGTTCCATTGCAGAGCCCTCCCCCTAGAAGTGCTGATCCCTTTGCCCACATCTTCACACTCCCTGTCTTCAGAAGGGCCCAGAAGCCCAGAGAAAACACCCAAATGTCTGGTATTGGACAAAGTCTCATGTCTTACATCACAAAGGAATAAACAACCAAGCCGAGTCCCTTTAGCTGTAGACATAGGCCCATTTCCTCTAGTAGGAAATTCTGCAAAACCCTTTTCCACCTTCTAGAACAGCAAGGCTAAGGATGGATTTGAATCTATTCAGGACTTTTATGCTCCACTGGACATTATACCAGTGAATAAGCAAATCATCTGCTGTGCCTAAAATGTTCGGCTCAGAAACATGATAGTCCTAGCCTCAAAGAGACCAAGAATTATCATGTGTACAGCTCTTTCTTCATCTCTGCTTGGGTATTCAGGACTACATGCCTGCCTCCTTCCTCTGGGCCCCCCACCACCCTGATTCCCTTGCCCATCCCAGACAACTCCCCCACCCTGATATTGGCTCTTGCCTCAGGTGCAAACTCAGCCTGGCAAGCACTACATTAGCCTCAGGCACCACAAACTTTACCTCTAGATTTGTCATGATACAGGTATTTCCATTGCTGGGTTGGGAGCCATTTTCCCCAAACAAGCTGGGAGTTTTCAGTAACCCATAGGGAATCTTTACTCCTGCCACTAAATACCAACAGCAGTCTCCACTTCCCCCACTGTCCAATCGGTACTCAGATTAGCCAATGAGGTATCTTGGGCAATTTTAAGCCACAATTGCCTTAGGATTCCCTCTATTTTGAGCTTAAGATGTGTAACACTTAAGAAAAAAAGGCAAATTTTGCTAAGTGCTTTGTGCAACCAGTCATACTGCTTTATACCCCATCTAGATAAATATAATTTATCAATGCTTCATCAAGGATTTCAACTGAAAATACAACACCAGGCCCTGTCTGTAACTGGAAAATACACACATACACCAACTAGTGGTATTCAGCTAAGAATTCATTGCTGTCTCATTTTTCTTTAACAGAATGTCAAATCAAGGAACAATTGTTCATTACAAAGTGGGATTTGATGTCAGGTGAAGACAAATGAGGATGACAGAGCTACTTATTTGGCATAACTGCCTAGAAACAAACTGAAAAGGATTCAGCAATATTAAATATGCACAAGACACTCTTTCCAGAATAACCAAATGTCCAAGTTACAAAATCCCAAAGAAGTCCTAAACTTTCAGTTGGGGCAATTTATCTTTTTTTCCCAGCTGGAGTATTTGTGAGATGTCTCTCAGAAACAAAATATGCAAATCTTCCAGCCCCTGAAAAGGAAGGAAGTCTATTTGAAGCAACTCTAGGGAGAGGAAGCAAAAAGACTTGAAAATGCATTTTTCACATAGATTTTGTGAACTAACCAAAATGTTTAGAGTGAACATGGTCACTTCATTTTTTTTTCACTAGAGGTTATCTACAAAGACCACAGGAAATGTTTAAGCAAATTTAAAAGCTATTTCTCAAGAGTTATTTGGATAAGCACAGTAATTTAGAGGCTTGGCTTCTAACAACTAAAGGCCTAACACCCTACTCAACCCTTTTGTGTGAACTGACTAACAAGTAATATTAATGCTTAGTAACAAATGTAAGAATGACATCAATTTTGAAAAAAAAAAGTTCACTGTTACTGCTTTCATGGAGAACTAACTCAAAGAAATGCATCTCTTGGATTTATAGAAAGATAGACGGCAAGACAGTTGGATGCATATGTGGTATGTAAGTCTAGGTTCAGTATTCTGAATCTGAAAATCTGAAATCTGGAATGCTCCAAGATCCAAAAGCCTTTGAGCACTGACATGACGCCTCAAGTGGAAAATTCCATGTCTGATGCAATGTGACTGACCTCAGTCAAAAACACTTAAGAAAAAAAAAAAATTTTATAAAATTACCTTCAGGCTATGTGCATAAGATGTATATGAAATATAAATAAACTTCATGTTTAGAAGTGGGTCTCAGCCCCAAGATATGTCATTATATATATGCAAATATTTCAAAATCTGAAGAAAACCCAAAATCCTTCTGGTTCCAACCATTTTGGATAAGGGATGCCCAAACTGTATAGCCAAATGCCATGTTGGAATCCAGGTGGTTGGAACCCAAATGTTCATTATAGAATTCTTTAAACTGCTCCAAATTTTTCAGTTGAAAATTTTAATAATAAAATGTTAGGAAAAAAATCTATCTCCAATTTTGAAAACTTGAAATTTAAGTTTGGGCTAAAGATGGGGCACATCCATGCTCTGTAGCCTAAATTAGTGATTTAAGCTCTAATATCCAATCAAGCTGCTAATTTATCAAAGGGAGATGGTAATATAGGCAATGGAAGTTTCTCTACCTATTATCCTCTCAATGGGCTGGTTAGGAGTCTCTCCAACTAGATTATGATTCCCCCAAGGGAAAGAACTGAGTGTTCATTGACTTTGCATCTCCACCACTAGCACCATGGTGGGCCAGTGTGGTGAACTGCCAGCAAATACTGCATTTGTCTATACATGGATTAATTCTCTGTGTCCCTGTAGAGCCAGAGGCTCAGGCCTTCTCTTCAAATGGCAGTCAACCACCCAGTCCTAAGAATTACATGTCTGTCAGGTTAAAGAAGAGTCTCTACTGTGTCATCCCTGGATCACTCAAGGGACTCTAAAGCACACTTTGATGCCTCCATCCTCTGCACTAAATTTCTGATTAACTGCTATGGGGTGTGGTCTGAGCCTCACGATGTTAAGCTCTCCCTAGATGTTAAAAATGTGTAAGAAACACCCGGAACTCCTGGGTTAATACTTTTCAGGTTACCAGACAGTTTCATTTTCTCTCACCATCTTTCATTTGATTCTGAAGAACCATCTTCCTCATCTCAAAGACAGAAGGTTATCACTTAAGTGAGTGGTTCTCAACAGGGGGTAATTTTGCCTCCCAGGAGACAGTTGGCAATGTCTAGAGACATTTTTGGTTGTTTAGCCTGGGAGTGAGTGCTATTGAGAGGCTAAGGATGCTGCCAAACATCCTACAGTGCACAGGACAGCTCCCCCATAAAGAATTATCTGGCTCCAAATGTCCATGGTGTCAAGATTGATACACCCTTATTTATGGTGACTTTGATTAGCTCGGGCTTCTTAGTCAAAGTAATTTCTTTGCTGCCTTTTTTTTCATACACACTGTGCCTGTGCCCTACATATGACAGACAACTGCACAACAGTGTATTCCAAAGTACATCTGAGTCAACTGTTGATGTTACAGGTTGGAGTAGCTCCAACGAAGGAGAGGCTGACATTCAACGAGTGTTCCCTTTGTGCCAGGCACTTTATATACAGAGCCATATGTTCCTCCCAACAATCTTGAGATAAGGATTCCAAATTTGAAAGCTACACTTATTATATAGGTCACACAGTTAATTAAGGATTTGAGCCCAAACTTACCCTAAAGACAAGTTGCCTTAGATCTCCAATAAGTTTGTGTTCCTTTAATATGCAATTAATAATCCCCTGTTTCTCAAACCCTCTTGTTTTTTAAAAATATTTTTTAGTTGTCAATGGATCTTTTATTTTATTTATTTATATGTTGTGTTGAGGATCAAACCCAGGGCCTCACACAAGCCAGGCAACTGCTCTACTACTAAGCCACAACTCCAGCCCTCAAACCCCCTTGTTTAAGAAACTAACACATTCTTCACTGTCCCTCCTCTCAAGGAGTAGAACTGTGGTGCTGTACAAGTGAAATCATTAGCAAGGCACCCTGCTATCCTTCCCTTGTAATCCCACCTTCCTCCAGCTCACCAGAAGTCCATCAAATGTCTTTTAAGGAAAAACATTCATCACTTTAGTATAGTCAGAGCCATGGCTTATTCTTGTTGTCATGGATAATTGAGTCAATTGCATAGAAATGGAAACTTGTAAATTCTCTGACAGGTGTTCTAATAAAGTATTAAGTGTCACAGTTAAAATGGAAGCTATCATACTAATATAGAGTATTGCTGGACCCAGCTCAATTCCTGGAATAAGATTTGCACTTAATAAATGTTTCCTGGATAAACCAATGCAATAATCAAATAAATTGAAATAAGCAACAAATTCAAGTAATTTATAGAATGAAAAGTCTGGGAAATTTTTATTAGATACTGATGTATTCTCTAGGGGTAACTGAAACAGGTAATAGCTGACTTTCGTTTTATTATTAAAACGAAACAAATAGAGCATATCAATATTTATTTTTTGATCCTTATATTGGTGTCTAAGAGTGTCACTAAATATATTATATGAATGAATATAATTCTGATATTCACATCAATATTTTGGAGGGTACTGAGGATTGAATCCAGGAGTGCTGTACTGAAACAACATTTCAGTAAGTCACCATGGCTGGCCTTGAACTTAACATCCTGTCACAGCCTCCAGAGTCACTGGGATTACAAGTGTATGCCACTGTGCCCAGATCATATCAATATTTCTTGTAGATATCACATTTTTCTTCCAAAGAAGGATAAATAGCTTAAATCGGCAAATATTTTATATGATTAGATTTTTAAAAAATAATTTTTGTGCTACTATCAGTATATGACAAATATCCCCTAGACTGACTTCTCCATTAGGCAGGGTTGAGAGCCCATAAATTATTTCAACTTCTTTTAAAAATCAGAAAGAAAAGTGTTAATATAATCTGGCATGAATTGTACACACGCACACACACACACATTTCCACTTTTTAGAGAGCTTTGTGTGATCACCTAAATGATTCTCTGGATCCTTCATTGAAGGGAGGCTGGCAGTTGAGGACATTCTATATCTAATTGATGACAAGGGGCCAATTTAGGAAGTGACAGCAGGAGACTCAATTTGTGAAGTGGTGATACACTGGCTTGCAGATCGAAGGTTACATGTCAAAGATGATTCTAAGATATTTAAGTCAGGATCTGGGTGCCCAAGGTGCAGTATCCCAATGATCTCCAGGAAATCTCATGAGAGGGGTGGTCGATGGGTCTCATGGGGAATGGGAATAGGAGGGGCTAACATCCTGGCAGAAACAAAGGAGGAGACACCATAGCAGATGGCCACATGTCTGGCAGAGATAGAAGGACAGACTGGAGAGCTGGGCCCAGAGCCCAGAATAGGACAGAGTTTTAACAATTGTGGAGAGGTCAGTAAATTCAAGGTCTCAGAGGAATCAAGGAGGTTGAGGCCTGGACAGCTTCCCCCAGCTTTGACCATCCGATGAGCACCAGAGGTCTTAAGCCTTGCTGCTTCTGAAGGGCAATGTGTGGCGAAGCCAGATTGCAAAAAACAGAAAATACAGAGCCAGAGAGGGAAAAAGAGTCTTAAATGCTGTCCCTGGAGGGCATTTAAGAACTTAAGGACATTTAAAGGAATTTAAGGGCATTTAAGAATTTAAGTTGAAGAAAAGGAGTCAGTGGCTAGGAAGAGAGAGAACATGCTGGGCCTTTTCTTCTCTTCTGTTTATAGGAAGCATGCCATGTTTGTAAATAATGGTTTATTGGAACACAGCCACACCTGTTTGCTTATGTTTTGTCTATGACTGCTTTTACACTACAAAGACAGAGCTGAGTAAGTATATCAGAGACTATCTGGCCAACAACGTCAAAAATATGTACTATCAGGCCCTTTAAAGAAAGTTTGTCAACGT